GCTCGGAGGCTGGCTGGTTCCGAAGCCAGATGTACCACCTGGGCCGAAAGAGTCGCGGGGCGCCCCTTGCAAAACCACTGCCAGGACCGTTGCGAAGCCAAGACGACGAAGGCCCCTCCAAGCAAGCCACACACACCTGCTGTTTTCACGTGGCATTTCCGAGGAAAATACGGCCCCAACATGTAAGGTGAGAACTCAAGGCTAGCCTGCGGCTAGCAACTCTCCTAGAAACGAACACATGCCTACATACTGAGCATGCCGCAAGGAATCAGGAAGCCAAACTTGCTGATGCACACATTCCTTTCCTCCGTAACGGAATGGGGTGGAGCAGCTGGAGTATAACAGGCGTCCTTCGAGCAACTAATTCTTGGCATCAGCGTCCTTCGCGAGATAGAAACCCGTCGCGCATCGGGAGCCTGAATTCACCAAGGATTGCCATCTCGATGTCGCTTCAGTCATCATTCAGCTTGGGCAACAAAGCCAAGGCTTGCACAGTGGTCCTCGGGGCCTGGATTGTGCAATGACTTGTCTATATATAATGATTTTCAACCCATGCCGACTGCAGTGCCCGGCTGCAAACTCGGCAGCCTGGGATCCCACAGCTGCGACCTTGCTTGAGCGCATCATGTACTGCAAGTTGTCCATTTCTGTGCGATCTGCTGCCGAACACAGAGAGCAACGAGTCAATGTCACACCGCAAAGGTCGCAGCAAGTCCCAGCCACAGAAGACTAGACTACCTTCCCCCCGCGGTTCTTCATTGCTCCTCTGCTTCTCGGACGCTTGGACACTCCACCTTGAACCGGTGGCCCCTCAACCGCTGACTTGCCATAGCCATCGCCCCCACTCCCCGGAGACAAACACGCCGATCACTGCAATCGTGACTTAGCAGTGGGGGCTAGGCAGTCGACTCGAGACCCTGAACTTTGAGCCACCTTCGTGCTTTTTTCCCTCCCGCCTCTAGGTACTGCAGGGCTTATGAATGTCGGCCCGTCGCTAGTTTATGTAGCCAGGAAAATGAAAGGGTTTGGCTGTACACTCCACATATTGGAGTTTCTCATTGTTGAGATTGCTGAGGAGGAAACACTACGTGACCTCTATATACCTCTATATCCCCGATAAGAAGAGCCAAGACCAGATAAACTACAAATGGCAGCATAAAGCTTATGGCAGCCAAGGCACATTGCACGTCACAAGAAAGCAAAACGTCTTGAACGTAATGCTTTCTCAGTTTGTGTATCGCAAAAGCTTGTGCTGAAGCACGTGCAGTAGAAAATAGACTAAATAGACAACACTCTAGCGCTGCCTGTCTCAGTAAGCCGATGGCTGCCATCACACTGCTATCTCTTCACTGGTGTCCTCGAGTCACTGGCTTGGCCTCAACCGTGGTTCATCCATTCCATACTTCTGTCCAAGGCGTCTTTTGAGGCATGCCCCAAGACAGCAGCACGGGCTGCCGATGACAAACACAGCGGCAACGATCACCACGATATACAAGAACTAAGAAGGTGTTGTTCTCGGAAACCTCCTCAGTGAGGTTTCGGGGATCGTCAAGGCTGATAGCCACCACATCCGATGGGTTTATCACGGTGACAAACGCGCGGTCGTTGGCAATATTTGGTAATCTTGATGTCCTCAGTCTGAGAAAGTTCCGCATCGTCGGACGATCCTCCCCCAGCTGGCAACAAAGCCGTCGTCGCCAGCAAGTGCAACGGGGCCGTCAGCGATGCCCGCAACGGACCCTACGAGAACGGGCGCGTCAGGGTTGGCAAGGTCAAGCACCGCCGCAAATCCGCTGCCGGTAACGATGGTGTGGCCACCTGCGCTCGCAAGCTTCCTGGGCTTGCCGCGGAATACACCATTGGCATCCTGGTCCGCGATGGAGTCTACAACGGTGACGTGTGATCCGAGAAGTTTAAGGCCAGCAGGCGCTCGTCTACAAGCAGACAGATGATGTTTCCAGCCGCAAGGATCGTGCGCTCTGCATCCTCAGTCGCTTCCAGGGGAGAAGCGTTCAATCGTGATGTTGCTGGGGAAAGACCAGACCCGGGCTCCGCAAAAAAGTATGCAGAATCTCCAGCAATGACAGTGCCCATCGCACCGCTGATGAAGTTATAGGTTGGATCCTCGATGAAGCTGGCGATGGTGACGAGGGTCTTGGATGTAGCCTACGACGACCGTGAACCCAGGGTCCGAAACATCGAACACTGTGAAACGTTTATCTGTGACCACGTAGGCCAGATCACCATCGATACTAATACCACACACTCCATTTATCATCTTCTCCGTGTCCCGGATGGCGCCTACAAAGGAAAGGCTTCGTGGCTTGCTGATGTTGACTGTCGGATGTGAGCACGCCCAAGAACAAAGGCGTGATTTCCGGCAACATCGGAACCACAGGCACTGCGGAGGTAGGATGGCATTCCGATCGAGCCTGCCACCGTCTGAGTCACGGAGAGACTTGGCATCATTGACATCAGCGCCAGGAGAGTGATTGCCATGGCGCTGACTTTTGTGGACGGCAGGGTGTCAAAGATGCTTCTATCCTCTGGATAGGCTCTTGAGCCAAGGGTTAAGTCTGCAAACTGCTCACGACACTCTGTACCAGCGAGCAACCCCGACCGGATGCACTGTAGCAAGGCACAAGCACGTGTTGCATCCGATGCCGGCTCATCCCATGAACTTCTCTGCAAGGCTGAGCAGCCCTTGTGCTAGGAAAACTTGGTTGTTCGAAACCCCCTCTCTTCCATCCTGCTTCTCTCCACATGCCAGGCAGCCGGCATCGCTTCGTGGAATGGTCCACCACAACCATGGCCTCCAATTCTGTCATGGAGGAGTTCATTGAGTACACGAGGCTGCTTGCAAAAATCTCGGGTGCTGGCTGGATTTGTGCAGCTGCCAGACGAACCATCAACGCAGGTGAATTGGCAAACTTAGGTTCCAAACAATGGATCGCAAGCCTATATCATAATTTCCCAGTGCTTCAAATGGTAATTCAATGAACCATTGCGTGCTGGGCGACTTTTGCCATGCACGTGCATGTGCACAGGGCAATGGGCTGGACCTCGGCCGGTGAAAGGCGACTCGCTCTCTGCGATGCTATCCTCAAGGGTCTCGCTATGCAAGGGCACGTAATGGCAGGCTAGGACTAGATAGTGACTGGATGTTGACAATGTCCACACCAAGGCTCCGCACAATGCTCCCACAGGGCCACAAACGAGCCATTGCCTCATCAAGAAGCAGACAATCGGAATATGATGCAATGATAGCATCGTGGGCCCAGGCAAGCGTCCGCGAGGGTCAAATCCAGAGCCAGGCCTGCCTCTCGAAGCCATGACGTGTCACATGCGGACTAGAGATTGCATGCTTGAACAGCTGCTGAAAGCTAGTCCTGGGTAAATGAAGGCGACAGTGCGCCCAGCATAAGTGAAAGCCCCCGCAGCTGCAACCTCGCGGCCTCCAGAAAGCAGGTGACCCCAGCACAGGGCCTGCGCTAGGAAAGCTTGGCTACAATTGATTCTTACCTCCCAAGGCCTGGTTCGGCTCTGTAAAGAAGAGAGCCCAGAGCTTGTGGCATCCTCAGACACTTTGGGGCGAAGCCTGCTCGCACCAAAGCAGAATCGGATGTGAGCCGAGCTGCCTGGAACTAAGCCTCATCAAGCAACCCGCTTGGTGGAGCGTTACATCAAGGCCCGGCAGTCCAACATGGCAGATGAATCGGGATGATGGACGCTTGTCAGCATCCCCTTATTGCAACCTTGCTGAACACTGTTGGGGAAAGTGCAATGATTGTATGCGACAGCACACTGCTGGGTTAAGCCAAATCCACAAAGCAAAGTCGGGTCGGGAGAGCTGCATGAGTGCAAGTCTGGTCCTGCCCATGCTTCCCGTTTCTTCAAGGACTGTTCCGCTTTTGCTGACTCGCGCAACGATTCCGCGTGCTGATTGTCGAGGCAACATGGGCTATGTCATGATGATGCCGTCCACGACGCAAGCACACTGTCGTCTTCCAGACGTGCGTGTCGAACAGATCGAGCGCGAAGATGTCCATGTCGAGAGTTCTCATTATCTCCGAGTCCTCAGGAGTTGCCGTGTGCTGGGATGGTCCGCAGTTATCTAGTCTGGTGATGTCAAGCATTAACCAACAAGTCCAACAACCACGTCAAGCAGCGATCCCCGCCAGCGAGAAGATGCGTTGCCGTGGCTGCGAGGAGCCTGCGCCGGTATTCCAGCCAATGAACGCTAACAACCCAACAACCCCGTGCAGTAGCCATTGAAAGAGCCTTTGGAAAAACTTTCCAGAAACTTTCCAGCTTTACTAAGCACAGAAAACTATTTCATGACAAGGCATGTTGCCAGCATATTTTTGCATTTTGCGGCACGCGGGAGACTGGGTTAGTGAGAAAATCCAAGCGTTTCCGAGCGCTCGCATACTTCAACGGAATGAAGAGAGGTCTGCAGCAAACATGGGCCATGCATGATCAGACCGAGCTTTCAGGCCGTGGTGGCCTTCGAGAGGGCAGGCGCACAACTACGCACACTCACTGTCAAAACGCCGCCAAACCAGCAGAAGTAGCGTCCACTTCGTCTGGTTCAGACGTTTCGGTTTTCCCTTTTCACCAGCTCAGACAAGCGCGCGCTCGTGACACTTCGGCATAGGACGCGTTGATTCAACTGCCACTTTCCCGAGCAAGGGCTCGTGGTTCGCATAAGCACAGCGAAACGGAAGCAAGCCAGGTACACGCCTCTTTTGTAGCAGGGTACACCGTTCAAAGGGGTGACCCCGAAGCTCGAGCAGACCCCCGGCTCCTATAACCGAACGAGTTCAGCTGTCACTCCGTGACAACATGTTATTAGTTATTAGTTATTACATTGACATCCGAGCACAGCGTAGTAGGCAAAACATGGCCAAACTGCGCCGGTGCTGCATGCAAGTGCATGTTCGCAAACTCATTGGCTGACGGAAACGGTCAGCATTCTGTGACTTGGTCATGAACAAGACTTAACTGGCGTGACCTTTCACCGCTTTGTTTGTCCGCCTCGCGTGACCTCGAGTCACACTCGGCCAAGCGATCGGCGATCGAGGGGGCAGCATTACCTTGCAGTGCCCCAAGCTGCCCCAAGTGTCAGATCTCTGCCGCTGACACTTCTCAGCGCCGGCTGTCACTGGCTCACTGGCTGGGCTGCCAGCTTCGATCACCGGTCGAAGGTGTATGTCGAATCTGGCCACTGCCCCACGCGTCACCTCGGGAAGAGGGCGTATCCTCGGGGCCTCGGCTCAAGAGCAACATTTTGAGAAGATCAAGATCACACTTGCCCGTGAGGATAAGCCCAGCATTGGAGCTGAGTCTGAGCGCCAAGGCCAGGCCCCCGTCGGTGCTCCTTTTCAGAGCTTTACACCAGATCTTGCTGCAGCTTTCGACGGAACCGTCTCTCCTCGTAGTGCTCGCCATTGGCCTGGACAGCCCTCGGCCACTCGCGGTAAGAGCGATCGGCCTGATTTCTGGGGCCATCGGAAAAGATGTCTCTACGGTGGCAACCGGCCAGTGCCTGCTCCTTGTGCCCACTGTGTCCATGGGTACCATGCCTGGCGTGATGGGCAACATCTTGCGGCGCCCACTCAAAATACAGTATCCACCATCTGCGGATGTCACCCACCTGTCAGTGTCCCGAGCCGCGAGGCTTTTGGGACTCCTGCTTCGAGACTTCAGCACCACTTGGCCTCAGGCAATGATGACAAACCGGTCGCTGAAACCGCCAACGCCCCCTTAAAGGGGCCCCGAGTTGCCCCGCGGGGTCGAGCCAGCGGAGGTCGGGGGGGCAGTGGCCTGCCTTACGGGGAGCGGCTCTTCTTCAACTCAAAGCGGCTCTCCTTTCCAACCCGTTCCTGGCAGAGGCCCCAAGCGGCCTTCATCGCGACGTGTGACAGGCTCCCTGTATTGGTCAGTGTAGTCGTACACTTCCTGAACATTTTGTCCCCAAGCTCTTGCTGAAGCCTGCCTCCATGTGGGGAAAACGAGCCTCGTCCCACCCGTCCTCTGCACGCAGCTGCCCAGAGCCTGCGAGCTGATAGAGCTCATGAGCTGAAGGCCCCGCTCGAAAACTTTTTCAAGAACCGATCGGCCTCGCGAGGATGCCTCCCCGCGATCTTTGCCCTCAGGAATCCAGCGATCCGCATCTCGCTTCACAGGGCCTTTTAGGCACTGGCTCTCCAGACACGCCCCTTGTCGCTTGCGGCCTTGCAGAGGGAGCCCGGGGCACGGGGTTGGTTGGCCCAGCGAGTCTGAGATCTGCACGGGGCTTCCCTGAGAGAACCTGCACAGGAACAGCTCCCCACCCTACGCCGAAGCTTCAATTTCGATGGACTCCGGGGCCCGAGCTCTGCTCTCGAGGCACCTTCGATGCAAAGTCTCCACGCTGCCTTTTGTGCAGGGACGTGCCGTGCCTTCCCCTCTCTGGACGGTATTTGAGCCCGTCAGCTTCACGGCCTGTCCAAAAATCGCCCAGCGGCTCGCATAAAAGTGCCAGCACGATCGGCGGCTTTGCACCTTCCCGTGCATCTGCTCATCCGGCTCAGCCGCAGTGGATCGCTCGCCTGAGCGGTGAACAGAAGAGCTTCTTGACCTGCCACCGGCTATGTAGACGTGCATCTTTGCTGGGCCTCTGTGGCCTCTGCTGCGATCTGCCTTGGCGCAATGTCTTTCACTGTCACCGACCGGACTTGGCCACCCTCCACCTCTGAAACGTGCCGCCAGCTGCGGTCTGACCTTAAAGGATTCCACCTATCTTCGAGCCGGAGCTGTGTTGTCTGAGCTAGGGCCTCGACTCGTCATGTCCCGAGCCGGAGCCACGTGTGGCCTGGGTCCGGTGATGGATCGCGGCGGATCGCTGTGCGCTCGGCTCGGCTGGGCCCCCCGTCTTGCGTGAGGGAAGCAGCGCCCGCGGAAAACGTCGTCCGAGCTTCGCCATGGCCAGGGCCAGGGCCTACGTGTAGCGGGCCTACGTGAAGCGACGCCTGGCCTGGTACCCCGTCTCCACCGCTCGCAGCGCAGCGCCTGCGACGTGGCGAGGCGTCAGCACGAGCTTCTCGTGCCGGCCTGCGAGGCCACACATCTCAACTCTGCGCACGAAGATGCACGCCGCACCTTGGGCAGCAGCAGCGTCAGGGGCTGCCTTTTGTAGGTCCACCTGGCCGGGTGGTCTTTGGGATCTTGTCTATCAGCTCAGGCTCTGGTTGGAATGACAATGCAGACCCTGCCTTCGTGCCCTTGCGCTGACCCTGACCCTGAGCAGGAGTACTGCCCTTCTTTTCACTTCGAGCCTGGAGCATATCACCAAAAGCTGAGCACTCCGTTTGACACTGGATGTGCTGAGAGTGCCACATCACTCCTCTGAGGCTCTTGGGGCCTCCCAGGACCATTGCAGAAGCGCAGGTGAAATAGAAAACCGGGAGCTTCGTCGGCTGAGGTCTGAACTCGCTGGGCCTTGGATGCGACGAGCCTGAACCGACGTTGCGAGACATTCCGCGACCTTGCGGGCCCGAGCCGAGCCAGCGCAGCTGCCTGCGGCGGCGCCTGCGGCGGTGCCTGCGGCAGCGGGCTCAGCCCTCGCCTCGGGAGGAAGTAGAGCCAAAGAGCACGACGCCCAGCCTGTGAACCTCATCATTATGAGCACTACGCGGGACAGCAACAATCGTTCATTTTAGTCGGGATACAGTAGGATAAGAACCGAACCACAGATCCTTCTCGAAGAAACGCTCTTCTGCTCCCTCCCCGGCTCCCTACTTCCAGGGCCATGGCCCTGCCATCCGTAGCCGAGGCCTTGGTCGAAGCCTGGCCAACTCTTCTCGGAAGAAGAATGGTAAAAAGGACAAGACATTATGATAGTGAGTCATGAGCAGAAGAACAAGAAGATCCAACAAGAAGAGCAGCTCATAGCAATAGGCCATGATAACGGCTACGTGAATGCAGATAAATGGAATTTTCATTGCAGCACTGGCAACAAGGTGAATGAGGATGTACAACAGGACATCCACATGCAGCTTCATTTCTGCAAAGAAAAGCTCCCGACATGTGGATATCATGCTCGCCAGACCGACATGCAGCTTCATTTCTGCAAAGACAAGCTCCCGACATGTGGATATCATGCTCGCCAGACCGAAAGCTAAGAGAGGTTCAGCAAGAATATTGGGCCGACATAAACCCTGAGCGCTCCAAGACGCCCGTGCCATGCTGGCAATTGCCGCACTTGCGATGGCCGCGCCTTCCAGACCCGAGCCTCGCAACGTGTGCGAGTCAAAACTGAATAGGAATAGGACTTGCTCGCAGCACCCTACATATCGCCCGGCCAAACATCAGGGACTAAAAGTCCGGGGACGAGGAGTAAGCAATGAACTCCCCATGACTCCCTGTTATCATGGAGCGACGCCTTCTCCCCAGCTCTAATGACACGGCTCTGTCGAAGTGCGATCAGAGCGGATAAGGCCAGGACTCCTACTCGCGGGGCAGCTTTCTCCTGAGACTTCACAACTTGGAAGATGCGAGAAGGGCTTGGGCTCCGGCCGGAAACATGTAAACTTGCGCCAAACCAACGAAGATAGAGCTGGCCGGAGCTGGCTACTGCAATCTGGAAAAAAAACATTGGAAACCCAAGGTCACTCAAACACTTTGAAACTGGGTCTCTCACATGTCTCCCGTGCGGATCATCCGCTGCAGACCTGGGCAAGGGAATTGGAAGTGCTCCCGGCCATGCACATGCTGCCATGATGATGATGATGATGATGGTGGTGGTGGTGATGATGACGATGACGATTTTGATGGTGGTTCTGGTGACTGTGGTGATGGTTATGATCAGGACACTGGCGGTGGCTACGGGCATGCTTCTGCTGATAGTGTTTGATCGTTTTCATGGCAAGATATGCGGACATGACTCTGGAAAACATTAAACTAAGACAGCCAGTGCGAAAGGTCATGCGAATACCTGTACTGTACCTGCATTTGCAGCGGTGTGAGTGAATGGCTACTCGGCTAATACGCTCAAACGGCGATTTTACATACTGCAAGCAGACACCACTAAGCAAAATGCCGCCAAGAGCACGAGACCGCACAAAGCAGTAGTAGTATTAGTAGTCGTCGTCGTCGTCGTCGTCGTCGCCGCCGCCGTCGTGTAGTAGCAGCAGCAGCAGCAGCAGTAGTAGTAGTAGCAGCAGTTTTAGGAGTAGTAGGAGTACCAGTAGTCTCGTATAGTAGTCGTCGTAGTAGTAGTCGTCGTCGTCGTTTTTTGTCACTCACTTGGTACGTCCACGACAGCACTGCGAGGTCCTGACTAGTCACTGAGTCACTGGTGTTCAGAGGCCAGGGATTACTACAGAAAGGGGAACAAAAGAGAACAGAGCACATTTAGCAACCCCTGGCATCTGGAAAAAACCGTCTCGAAACCAGCTTTGAAAGCAAATGGTCCCGCCCGGCAAACATCAAAAAATTGGCACTTGAGGGCCTCAAAACTTTCCTCCACAACTATGGCGCAGTCGATGAGAACTCCGACGCACAACAACTCAGCGGGAAGAACCCCAATACAGGCTCACCACGCGCTCACCGAACACCCAAGCGAGCTCCCACTGTTCCATCGATCTTGCGCACACTCGGGAATTGATCTATCTCAAGCCAATGCATGCAGCGATTGTGGATATCTTATATACCAATTGCAAATTCAGCCGTACCACCAAGCACGAGTATGAGTATGCAGATGTCTTCAGTGGAGATGACATGTAGTGGTAGCAGCAGCGGCAGCAGCAGCAGCAGCAGCAGTAGTAGTGGTAGTAGTAGTAATAGTAGTATTAGTAGTAGGAGCAGTAGTAGTATTAGAAGTAGTGGTAGTAGTAGTACCAGTAGCAGAGCTGTAGTCTATTGGTTTTAGTAGTATCGGTAGTATAGTATTAGTGTCTAGTCTACGACGAGTGAGTAGTCGGAGAAGGCTATGGAGCAATACGAGTCTACTCCATGGGCCGCCAAGACTAAGATATTTCCGCCTTAAAGAATCAAATACCCCCTAAACCCTCGTTGTTGCTGCTGTTGTTGCACACTACGCTTGAATAGCAATGACAGTTTGTTGCCTACCCCTGCAAGGCAATTAATTAAGCCCCCAGACCAGCAGCCGAAGCAGCTGTTATATCTGGAGCATGCAAGCCTTGGAAGCAAAGCTGCTGCAGACACTGTGAACATGATTGCGTGAGAGATAGATCTACAGCGACAGAAAGAAACACAGATCCTGAAGCAAACAGCGGTAGTATTTTTGCACCAATGCTCTGAGACCGAGCTTGCCCAATTCGTCCCACATATACATACATATATTGGGAAAGGATGAAAGAAGCCAAAGGAGTTCTATACAAGTTTCCTGGCCTTCTCTTTCAGTAAACTACCACCCAAACTCCGGCTTTAAAGCGCTCAGGACGGTCAGCAAGTAACCGCAACCTCGGGCCATCTATCGCCAACTCGCCATTCGACGATCAGCAACGACGAGCCACACCATATGACTCTTGTTAGCGCCGCCAATGATTACGGTCGACTTGGAACCACTGCCACCACCAAGTTCCACCAGTTAGTTTCCAGCACCAACACCAAACCATATTTGGAGCAATAGCAGGAGGGCTGCGGCTGCGGGATCTCTGAGCACGCCCGGAGTTGCTGTCGCCGTCCCTTGTCTCGGGCCCATCATCATCTCGTCGACGGCGTGGAGGAGATCTGGATCGGGCCATGTCGCGCTAAGATTCAGGCTGGGATTCGGCTATAGGCAAAAGGGCGGCTGCGACCAGTGATTAATTAATATGGCGACGGCCCACCACACATGCACGGCCAAATCAACATGATGATGCATCCGAAGACCGATTACTGAAGACAATATCGTCACAGTGAATTACTGCACAGCCCACATATCTGGCTCGACGCAAATCTTAAGCAAGGCTTCAAGGACCTAACCCCTCTCTCAAAGCGACTCTTAGGTTTTTTTGCGACATTCTGCCAAAACGTCACGTTCATCCTGCGATTGTTGGTTCAGTGGGCCGCAGCAGCCATAGACGGAGGCACGACAATGGCCGAAGCAGCCAAGTAACAAACTTGATTATTACTGCGCGACAACGGCCGAAGCAGCCAGGCAGCTTATTACGGTTCAGCCGGAGCAGCCAACACGACGATGACTTCCTGCGTCAGTCACCGTTAGCCCGAAGTCTGAGTACGTCAGAGCCACGATCGCTTCAAATTGTTCGCACTGCCCGCCTAAAGCCAAAGCATCGTCATCTGAGGCCATAGCCGCATCTGAAGCCGCGGAAGGCGAGTTGGCTGCCTTCGGGCTTGGAGGCACCATGTTCATCAAGTCACCATCTCCGCTACGGATGATGACCGGCAGGGAACGGACCAGAAAGTGATAGTCGTGCAGGCTTCCATGCAAGACTGCGAATATTCGGCGCAGCTCCACATAGTTTGGGTCAATTTCATGAAGGGGACCCTGCATTCGCAACCAGCGCAGAGTCGAGCAACTGAGATCCAGAGTGAATGCCAGGCTTGCCAATTGGTCCTTCTCCCAGAAGCATCTTAAACGGCAGATGCGGCTGTATCTGCACAGCGAGTCGGTCCCAGGTGGAAGCACCGGCTTTTTGGGCCAGCAGCCGTCCCGCAGCTGCAAACTCTCCTTTGCAACATTTCCTGTTTTGACTCGTCCTTCCAGAAACATTCGCAAAGCCAAGCAAAACTGCACCGTGAACTTGGCTCTGTCGTCATCTTCTGCAGATAGGCTTAGGAATTCGAGGAACATCAGGCAGGTAATCATCAACCCGTTCAGGTTACCCAGGATATTCTCCGTTGCTAACTTTGTTGTCGTGATCCCCTGACAGANNGAGGGACCAAGTGGAGCGACTAAGTTAAAATGAAAACTTGAGAAAGAAAGATGGCGGCCAGTTTCAAGCTGCACTCTCACCCCTCCTACACTCACAGACACAGCTCTGTCAGAGGCACGTCATTGTCATTGGTCATTGTCATATACCTGAATATACCTAGTACAACAATACGACAAGCACTGGCCGGGAACAATCTGCTGATTGACAAGCGACCCCTTTTTTGCGCAGCCATAATGAATCGTGGGGCCGGGTAGCAGACTGAAAGGCTTGCTGCGCGACAATGGCCGAAGCAGCCAGGTAGCAGACTGGAAGCTTTGCTGCGCATTCAAGCCGAAGCAGCTGATTATATTGTTCAGCCGGAGCAGCCAACATGACGATGACATCCTGCGTCAGTCATCCGTAGTCCACGGTTCACTCGAAGTCTTTTCGTGCCAGAGATAGGATCCTTCCAAATTCCTTGCTCTGGCCTAAAACCAAAGTCACAGCGTCGTCGTCTGAGGCCATAGCCGCATCTGAAGCCGCAGACGGCGAGTTTGCTGGCTCCGGGCTTGGAGGCAACATTCCCAGCAAGTCAGCATTTGTGTCACGGATGGCCGGCAGGCAACTGACCAGAAAGTGACAATCGTGCAAGCGTCCTTCCAACACAGCTAAAATTTGGCGCAACTCTACAAAGTCTGGATCATTTTCATGACCCGGCATTCGCAACCAGCGCAGAGTCGAGCACGTGAGATCCAAAGTAAATGCCATTTTCTGCCATTCGTCCGGCCCAAAGAAATACCTTAGACGGCAGATGAGGCTGTGCCTGACGAGGTGATCGGTCCCAGGTGGAAGCACCGGCTTTTTGGGCCAGCAGCCGTCCTCCACCTTCAGAGATCTCTCCTTTGCAAAAGTTCCTGTTTTAATTCGTCCTTCCAGAAACATTCGCAAAGCCAAGCAAAACTCCAC